TTCATACCAGACCCATATACTAGATGAGTGTGGAGTCCCCCCCAAAAAATTCTATACCAAACCCTTCAAGTATGATATGAAATTTTAGAGAAAACCCCACACAAAATACAAGAAATTAATTCATAGGGTCCCTACTGAAATCCAGACCAATATTCAAGCACCTCTTCCTCTTGGGATGGTGGTTGTGGGGGTTTGTGGGCAAGGGGCTTTTCTGAGTCTGGAAACTCCCTTTAAAAACAAGGAGGCCCTCAGATACTGCCCCCAGGGGTATATATTACCCCTGCTCTTTCACAAAAAAAATGTACATAGAAAATAACACACCACACTTTTTTACAGCCTCCCTGAATGTTGTATGTGGGGTGAGGTGAGATTGTTAAGGACAGTATTGTCCTCAGTGACACCCCGGACTCAGAGTCTATTGCTGCAGGCAATTTGTGGTTAATAGGCTCAGGAACAGCTAAAAAAAAAATCTGATTTTTTTTTTCATTTTTGTAAGTTATGTGTATGTTTTTAAGTTATGTGAATGGGGACATGTAAGAAATATTATCATAATGTTTATAGCAACAACAGTTTGAGCAGTGCTTTACAAAATGAAGGTGGACATTACAGTTTTCAATACAAGAGGAATTAGTCTGATAGAGCATACAATCTAAAAGGAAGGGTCAAGTGATACAAAAGGTACTATCGGTGGGGGATGATCTGAAGGAGAAAGTAAAAATACAGTGTATTAGTTAGAAAAAAGATAGGCTTGCTTAAAGACATGGGTGGATAGAGTAGGAAACATTTGGTCATATTGGGGTAAGATGTTTCAGAGGATGGGAGAGGCTCTGGAGAAGTCCTGGAGCTAAGAATGGGAGGAGGTGACAAAGGAGCTAGAGAGTAGGAGGTCTTGTGAGGACCAAAGAGAGCAGTTTGGTTGGTATATAAAGTAGGTATTATCCCAATCTGGCTGCAAAAGTGGAAATACTCTTTAAGGAGGTGCTACATACATTTTACTGAATTTCATGATGGTTGTGGAATCCCCTCTGATACCCAACAAGGTAGTGCTTGAACCATATTATTGCTGGATGCATTGGGGCCAGGGCTGCTGCAGGCAGTGTAAGTGTGGACCCCATGGACTATTGATTGTCCAGGCTGTACCACTGGCTGGAGTTTGCACATTATGCACTGGAGCTTCTGACTTGCACTGCAGCCATTATACTGTGTGAGAGGGCCTACTGCATGATAGGAGGTTTTGTTATGAATCTTCCTTTCCTCTGATAGTTTGGACCAGCTCAGCATATTCTGGTGCTCTGGGAGGTGCTACATAAGGAGGTACTACCAAGGTGCTTTGCTGCATTCCACGACATTGGCAGCATCTCCTCTGATGACCAACAAGGCAGTGCATGAACCATATTATTGCTGACTACATCAGGTACAGGACTGAGAAGGCCTTCTGTCTGGCAGTACTACTTTCCTCTTACAGTTTGAATCAGCTTGGCCCATTCTGGTGCTCTGGGACTGTAAATTTTTAAAACTGTTTTTCTAAAGCTCAATCTCAGTAGCAAAATAACTCTTTGCTGCAGGTCAAATCATATGTTGGAATCTTGCTATTTTGCATTGCAAGATAAAACTTGAAACTTGCCTCATCTCCTCCTCTTATATTATAACCTAACCAAGCTGCTTACATACTGTCCAGCCACTGTACATAATGTATGGCTATTGTCTCTCAGAAACGTATATTTATAAGGTTTATAAAAAAAAAAAATTTGAGGGGCACTGAGAATGACTTGGCGAAAACTAGAGTTGAACAGTAAAGATAGGAAGCTGAAGAAGCACCTTTTAGTAACTTTACACATCTGCATCTATACTTTCCAAACATGTTGTAATATGTGGTAATATACATCAACAGTATAATTTTAACAAAATAAAAAAACCTCTACCTTTTGCCATTAAAAATCAGTTCCTGATTTCCAGTCAAATTTGTTTGCTTAGGCTGAGATGATTTCATCAATCTGTTTCAAGCAGGAGGAGGCATTTTTGTTTTTCTGTACACAGCCTGAGCTGCGATTTTTATCCAAGAAGTTGAGAGGGACCTTGAGTGATCCCGTAAAGGAGAAGTTTGGGGTTTGTAAAAAAAAAATAAACATACATACTCACCTCTATGCTGCAGCATTGATGTGATGCTGTGCTTGTCCCATGACATCTCCAAGCCCAAGAACCGAGTAATCACATAACTGCTGATCACTCAGTTCTCAGTCTGCTTGGTGCTGAGAGAAGTGACTGTCAGTCACTGTTCTCCACTCTGCGACTTCAGGGAGGGGGCAGGTGCTGCTGGCTCCAACTCTCAGCCTTGTGCTGAAAGGTGAAGCCAACTGTCATTCAGGCAGCTGGGTGGTTCCCTATATTATTGTTAGGATCCTTCCATAGCCTGGAGCAGTTCTGCCAAGTCACCTGATAACAGGCAATAGCCCACTATTGGCTAATTCTGGGTCACAGGAGAGCATAAGTAAGTGCACTCCCGCGACCTACAAGAAAAGTTTTGGCCATTCGTCTCTTTTAACCAGTTGCCGCCTGGCCTATGGTCAAATGACAGCCAGGTGAACATCTCGTCCCTCCAGAAGGGCGTCATATGACATTCTTCCCGGAACACGTTGCGCGTGCCTGCAGGGCTGCGCTGTGGCGAGATCTGTCACCGGCCGTGTACCTCGGACACGGCCGATGACATATCTGTGTACCGGCCCCGTTGCCAGTACCATGTGATCTGCTGTGACCAATCACAGCAGGTCACATGACAGTTGTATACAATGGATGGCTTCCTTTCATGCCATCCATTGTATACAAGTGTGTCTAGCTGTGAATGGTCACAGTGATCACATTCACAGGCTGGCCCAATTACAGCTCATCTTTGTCATGTGATTAGCTGTGGCCAATTACAGCTAATCACAACAAAAATACCTGAATTAATTTATTTAATTCAGTTAAATGATTGCTTATAGCAAAGAAATTCTTTACTATAAGCAATTAAATTATGTAAAAAAAACAAATAATGATCACTTCCCCAAAGTAGTACAATGTTACTATGGTAACATTATACTACTTTGGCCATAGTGTAATATGAAAAAAAAAATCTTAAAAAAAGAGAAAAAAAATTAATAAAAAATAAAAAAACAATTAAAACAAAAATGTTTTAAATGACCATTTTCCTTTTTTTGTACTGTCACCAGTCAGTGTCCCTGATCACCTCCACACCAGTTATATGATGACGCTGTACTGCACTGGCGACAGTATGTAAAAAAAAATGTGAAAACAATTTTTTTAATTTCTCCATTTTCCAAAAAATTCTGACAAAAAAATTACAACTTCAAAAAACTCACCATGCCTCTTATGAAATATGTCGGACTGTCTACTTTGCAAAAAGGGGTCATTTGGGGGATATCTGTACTGTTCTGACATTTTTGGGCCTCAAGAAATTAAATTGGCCGTCAGTACTTCAGGATTGATCAATTTGCAGATATATCTCATAGTTTGTGAACTCTTTCACTTTCCTACAGACTAAATAATAAATACTGATTTTGGTTATTTTCACCAAAGAAATGTAGTAGAATACTTCTTGGCCTAAATTTATGAAGAACATATATTTATTTGCAAACTTTTATAACAGAAACAAAGAAACTTGGTTTTTTTTTTCAAAATTTTCAGCCACTTTATTAGGTACACCTGTTCAATTGCTAATTGCTAATCAGCCAATCACATGGCAGCTACTCAATGCATTTAGGCATGTAGATGTGGTGAAGACGACTTGCTGAAGTTCAAACCAAGCATCAGAATGGGGAAGAAAAGGAATTTAAGTGACTTTGAATGTGGCATGGTTGTTGATGCCAGATGAGCTGGTCTGAGTATTTCAAAAACTGCTGATCTACTAGGATTTTCACGTACAACAATCTCTACGGTTTAATTGGAATGGTTCGAAAATGGAAAAATATTCAGTGATCCTCAGTTGTGTGGCCAAAAATGCCTTGTTGAGTCAGAGGTCAGAGAAGAATGGACAGACTGGTTGCTGCAGCATTCAGATGGCAGGGTCAGAATTTGCCATAAAGATCATGAAATCATGGATCCATCCTGCCTTGTATCACCGGTTCAGGCTGGTGGTGGTGTAATGGTGTGGGGGATATTTTCTTGGCACTAGTAAGGTGTACCTAATAAAGTGGCTAATGAGTGCATTTCCCTTGATTTTGGTGAACAGTGGGATAGCGCTCTTAAGTACATGATCATTCCACTTTCATGAATATAATGTCATGGGGAGTGCTGTGATCTCTCTGGGTAATACATACATAGAAGAATGACAACTACACAATACTTGGTATGCAGGGGCGGACTGACCATTTGGAAACTCAGGTACTGCCTGAGGGCCCGGAGTCAGTAGGGGGCCCCATGAGATGCCCCTGGTACCTTTTTCATAGGCTTTTTTGAGTTTGGGCAAGGACACAGGGGCCCCATGATCCCCTATTGCCCGGGGGCCCCATGAGTTGTCAGTCCCCCCTGTTGGTATGCATACACATAACCTGAAGAATACAGCAAGTGCCACTTTAATACGTGATCAGCAACTTTTTAAAAGGTTTTCCATAAAGCCATTTTTACTTCCCTGTTGTTCAGGCTATAAATAAGAGGATTGAACATCGAGGGTGCAACTACATAAAACATAGAAATATATTTCCCTTTACTTGGTGCATGGTGGGATAGTGAACCTAAGTACGTGATCATTCCACTTCCATAAATTAAAACAACCACAGTTATGTGAGAGGTGCAAGTGGAGAACGCTTTAGATCTTCCTGCAGAATGAACCTTTAATATAGAGGATAAAATACAAATATATGAGGCTATGATTAAAAGGAATGGTAAGAGAATAGTAATGAAACTGATCAAAAATATTGAAAGTTCTTTAACATAGTTCTTGTCACATGACAATTGTAATACTTCTAGCGCCTCACACATAAAGTGGTTAATCAGGTTTGGATGGCATAAAGTTTCAGGCATGACAATAGATGGAACTAAAATAATTATAAAACTAAATATCCACACAAGACTGGTCAGTCGATAACAAATGCTCCATCTCATAAGGGTTGGGTAGTGAAGTGGGTGGCAGATAGCAAGGTATCGGTCATAGGCCATGAGTGCGAGCAGTTGGTACTCTGTGGCTCCCATTAGTAGTAACATATGAATTTGAGTGAGACAAGCAGCCAGGGAAATTTTCCTACAAGTAGAAAGAAGATCCACCAGGAGCCTGGGTAGAGCAGATGATGAATAACACACATCAATAAAGGACAAATTGCTCAGAAAGAAATACATCGGACTATGCAGATGGGGATAAATAATGATCACAAGTATTATGAGACCATTTCCAATAATAATTAGCAAATAAATCCAGAAAAACAACACAAACAAAAATTGATTTATAGTCAGTTCATTGGAGAATCCCAGCAAAATAAATTCCATTGCAATAGTCTTGTTCTTCATGTTCGTGCCAGTTATCAAAAGAGGACTCTGGACAAACCACAAATTTAAGTCATCTACTCGTATTATATGATTTTACATAATGACTGTGGCTTCCAAGTTCAATTCCAATCAATACAATAAAAGTAGGGCAAGCTCTGCTGTTAACGTACTACTAGCCAAAACTTTTTTTGTTGTTGTTTAGCACAGCCAACCATTAATCAACCTAGAACAGCAACAAACATATGGACAGATATTCACCATTTAAAATCATATAAATCATAATATTAGCTATAAATACTGTACAATACTACTAAATATATTTATATAGTTAATATTAGCTTGTGACCATTTATTTTCATGTATGTTATGTATTTTGGTTTCGTTTATTTGTTATGTTGATGCTACATTAGTGTTTTATTGATTTATTGGGATATGCTGATTTTAAATGGAGAATATCTGCCCATATATTTGTTGCTGTACTAGGCTGATTAGTGGTTGGCTATGCTAACCACTAGATGGTCCCCCAGTTGTTTATGAGGTATATCAAACATATTGCCATCAATTTGGAATATTTGCTAATTTATTATGTATCAAATTAAATATTTTTATTTAATTTATTTAATTAACATTCATTTTTTGGATTTATGATCCAATTAATTTTATTCTATTATTGAATTTTTCCCCGTAATTGGGGATTGGTTTGCTAACATAAATGAGTCTTGGCTTCGGCCTCTAATTTGGACATACAGTTGCAAGAAAAAGTATGTGAACCCCTTGGGATTACGTGGACTTTGCATGAATTGGGCATAAAATGTGCTCTGAACGTCATCTACAGTTGCAAGAAAAAGTATGTGAACCCCTTGAGATAGAATATTGCTACACTGAAACAGTTTTGTGAAGAGGAGTGGTCCAAAATTACTCCAGATCGTTGTGCAGGTCTGATCTGCAACTACAGGAAACGTTTGGTTGAGGTTATTGCTGCCAAAGGAGGGTCAACCAGTTATTAAGTCCAAAGGTTCACATACTTTTCCTCCCTGCACTGTGAATGTTTACATGTTATGTGCAATGAAACCATGGCAACATCTAATGTTTGTGTAGTATTATGTTCAGCAGACTGTGTTCTTCTATTGTTGTGACTTAGATGACGTTCACAGCACATTTTATGCCCAATTCATGCAAAACTCCACGTAATCCCAAGGGGTTCACATACTTTTTGTTGCAACTGTAAAAGAGAGGCTTGGTTTGGATTGGATCGTTTTTTATCTGTGCTACTTTCTTTCCTGTATTTCAATATAAAGGTGCAGCGCTAAGACATAATGTGCAAAATAATGCGTATTGAATCATATAAATCACATAAAGTGCAAAATTAAGTGCAAAAAATTAGATGTCTCCAAATGGTGAGCGTGGTGAATAAATGTCCCAAATAAAACAGCGCACATGAGGATCTGGTATGATCACAATACTCGTGCGTGGAAATCTGGTCCGGGGTGGCAGATAATAAATCCAATTTAAATAAATTGCGCACTCACCAGAAGTGCGTAAATACACGCATTTGAGATATAGCCTGTCTCATCAGGTATCAGTAAGGTCATCTGCTCCCAGGTCAGGTCAGGTTCCTACACCTTCTGATCACATCTGAATGGGTGCCAGGGGTCCTTGAAGTGTATCACCATCTGGGGTCAACTTTAAAGCAGGGTCTGCGAGTGATGACACTCACAAGGAGAACGTTTGTGAATCACTTCCCCATAGTTTGGCCGGTGAGGTGACTACGGGGTGCCGGGTCTGACAGCAATGCCTGCCTCTGACCTCTCCCGGTGGCAGTCCTCTCTTTGAACAATCAGAGCGCCGACGCTCCTAGTGCTCGGGGGAGCCTGTGTTCCTCGCAATAGACTTGAGTGTCTGATCCCAGATTGCGCACCCCCCTCCTCCATTCCACACAGACACCCCAGACCACTTTTTTTTTTTTTATCCTACTTCCTATCCTGTTCCTGTTACCAATATGGAGGTTGATTCATTCCAAATTAAGGCTTGGTTTTCATCTGCGTAAGCGTGATGACGGAGGGCAGTCTCCTAACCTCGGAAGACTTCTGGTTATGACGATATGCGTTGGGCGAACCTCCCTTCTGACGTCATTGCGTTGGATCGCCATTTTGGACCATCTTTGTGGATTGATGCTTTTTATCCTTTGTGTTTGTCAGTGCATTTTTGTTTGCTTAATAAACCAGTTGTATTTTACTGCACTGTGAGAGGCACCTCTTTATTTTACATGAACAAACACTGACCCTAAACATCGGGACGGCTTGATGAGCCTCAGGCAGTGCATTTGGTTCCATATAAACACACGAGTCCAGATAAGAATATATGCATTGAGCGTGTTATGACCCCCTATAGCAAAGGGGTCTAAGGATCTGGTAAGCCTCCGATTTGATATTACGTGGTGGATATTCGCGTTGGTGGTTATGTTGGAATGAAGATTTCTCACTACTCACCACAGAAACCAGGGGACTAGTTTACACTTTTATGGACTGTTTGTGATGTGTTTTTTATTCATGTTTGTCTTTGGGCACTATTTATTTATTTATGTATTATTGTATGTACATCATCAACATATTTGTTTGCAATTGATTGTTTACACTTAGAGCAACACAAATTTATATTTTGATGGTAGACAATCAGCCTCTAACTTCATCCTGTTCAATTAAGCTTTGACAAAAAAACTGAAAGCTGATTGTTTTCTATGCAGAGCTGCACCAGATTTCCCCCCAGTTTTGTTAAATCAACCCTTCAAGTTTAACTGAAAAAAAGGAAACAAAGGAAAAATCCAAATTAATAATGTAATATAAACGTAGCGTTAATGTATTACCCACTATCTGAAAATATTCATGAAAGGGGATAATGGTGGACACCACTTAGATTGGTGAGATTAATCGTGCTATTCTTCACGTTGTAAAATATGTATCAATGTGCTACATAGTATACAGTCTGCTTTACTGTATCTGAATGGTTGTATTTTAGTCTTTACTAACATATATTTATCATAGACAAACCTGTGATAGTGCTCAATTTTTTAAATAGTTTTTCAGTTGCTCATTTCAAGTATCTGAAATGCAATCTTACCTCAGGAATACTTCTTATTCCATAAATATTTTTGTCAGGGCTTTTTTTCAGCGGGAACATTGGGGAATGCAGTCTTGGCACTTGATGTATGTAAAGCAAAGGGGTGTTGGGTGTCCTGAAGGGTCTATTGATGCCTGCTGCTAGGGGATCTATTGTTGCTGGAGGGGATCTATTTTTGAGTGTGTGGGTCTATTGTTGCTGCTGGGGGAAGTGTTGTTGCTAGGGGGGTTTATGGAGGGCCAATTGTTTCTGGGGGATCTATTTTTGCTCGGGGGATCTATTGTTGCTAGGGGGTCTTTTGTTGCTGGCTGCAGGGGATCTATTTTTACTGCTGTTCTTGTTATCATTAACAAACTCCAAAATACTTAGCACAACAATAAGATCCTTGGTTCTGTATTCTCTGAAAGAGGAAGTACTGGGAGGTGGGTAGGAGGTGGAACCAAAGAACCGTGCTCAGAGGTGGGTACGGGGTGGAGACGGTTGTGACTCAGAAGGGGGGATTCCTGCACCTATTCTCTAAGAAAAAAGCCCTGATTTTATATACACTGCTCAAAAAAATTAAAAGACTTTTTAATCAGAGTATAGCATCAAGTCAATGAATCTGATAATGATCTGGTCAGTTAAGTAGCAGAGGGGGTTGTTAATCAGTTTCAGCTGCTTTGATGTTAATGAAATTAACAACAGGTGCACTAGATGGGCAACAATGAGATGACCCCCAAAACAGGAATGGTTTGACAGGTGGAGGCCAGTGACATTTTTTTCCCTACTCATCTTTTCTGACTGTTTTTCAGTAGTTTTGCATTTGGCTAGGGTCAGTGTCAATACTGGTAGCATGAGGCCATACCTGGACCCTACAGAGGTTGCACAGGCAGTCCAACTCCTCCAGGATGGCACATCAATACGTGCCATTGCTAGAAGGTTTGCTGTGTCTCCCAGTCTCAAGAGCTTGGAGGAGATTCCAGGAGACAGGCAGTTACTCTAGGAGAGCTGGACAGGGCCATAGAGGGTCCTTAACCCATCAGCAGGACTGGTATCTGCTCCTTTGTGCAAGGAGGAACAGGATGAGCACTGCCAGAGCCCTACAAAATGATTTCCAGCAGGCCACTGGTGTTAATGTCTCTGACCAAACAGTGAGAAACATACTTCATGAGGGTGGCCTGAGGGCCCGACGTCCTCTAGTGGGCCCTGTGCTCACTACCTGGCACCATAGAACTTGATTGACATTTGCCATTGAACACCAGAATTGGCAGGTCCGCCACTGGCGCCCTGTGCTTTTCACAGATGAGAGCAGGTTCACCCTGAGCCCATGTGACAGACATGCAAGGGTCTGGAGAAGCTATTATGCCACCTGTAACATCGTTCAGCATGACCGTTTTGGTGGTGAGTCAGTGATGGTTCCTGGGGTGGCAGTCCTCTGTAGGTTGATCATTTTCATTTCCATCAAACAATGGGGCATCCTTACATTGCCCCTAACACATTACCAAGTCCATATTTCAGCAAAATATAGATATCTGTAGGTTGATCATTTTCATTTCCATCAAACAATGGGGGCATCCTTACATTCCTAACACATTACCAAGTCCATATCAGTATAGATATCCTAACATGATATTTTTCTCCTTGAGATCTGATGTGTTTTCAAAGTATTCCCTTCATTTTTGTGAGCAGTGTATATTTGGGAAAGCACTGCCTATTGTAGAAAGCATTGTCTGAGCCAATACTAGACTAACACAAAGTCAATAACAGTCAGTACTGTAGCTGGGAATGGCAAGCAGTAGAAATTTACTTTTCACTAAAGCAGCCTTTCTCAACCTTCTGTATAAATCCTGGAAATAGTTTTCTGATCTCAAGGAACCTCTGCTAAAATGGATACATAGCTAATTTAAGGATAATAAGTTGTATCT